CAGCACTTTGTGAACCTCCATGTGCAGATTTCGTGGCAGGCACAGCATCCGGGGAGCTGGAAGCTGAGAACTGGCGACTTTGTAGTACAACTGTAGTACGCGGAGTATGTGGCGAGCTGGAAGCTGAGAAGTGACGACATGGTAGTACAAACGTAGTACGCGGAGCATCTGTGGAGCTGGAAGCTGAGAACTGGCGACTATGTAGTACAACTTTAGTATGCGGATGAGGCATCTCTCGCTGCTGAGTCATCTCTCGCTCCTGAGTCCTGTCACACTGCTGAGTCATGTCTCACTGCAGAGTCATGTCTCGCTGCTGAGCCATCTCTCGCTGCAGAGTCATCTCTTGCGGCTGAGTCGTCTCTCACTGCTGACGTATCTCTCGCTGGGGAGTCATCTCTTGCTGCTGAGTCATCTCTCACTGCTGAGTCGTCTCTGAAGAGATCACCGCTGATTTCGACGACGACGAAGGTTGCAGGCGTGGAGTACGCAAGTTGCGGGCTGGGACGCTGCGCTGTAGATGCGTGTTGCGCTGTAGGCATGAAATGAAGGCATGAGACGAAAGGCAAGCTTTCCGCAGCCGTGTCCATGTACTGTACACTGAATGCAGAGCGTGAGTTCAGAGACACAGCAAACACGCAGAATCAGACGAATCACAAGCAGACTGTTTTGTTTTGGATTCTGTACGTACAGCTGACCATGACTAGGGACACTGTTTGGAAAGAACCAGCGGTTGGACTGGGTTGACTGGGTGTGACTTGCTTTTGTTTTGGGATCCGTACATGTAGCTGACCATGGTTTGAAGGCGCTAGCTAGCAAGCCAGAGAGCAACTGGTGACTTTGTATGTACTACAACTTGAGTACGCGGAGCTATCTGTGCAGCTAGAAGCTGAGAACTGGCGACTTTGTAGTACAACTTTCGTACGCGGATGAGTCATCTCTCGCTGCTGAGTCATCTCTCGCTGGTGAGTCATCTCTTGCTCCTGAGTCATCTCTCGCTGCTGAGTCATCTCTCGCTGCTGAGTATCTGGGGAGCTGGAAAATGAGAACTGGCGACTTTGTAGTACAACTGTAAAGTACGCGGAGTATTTGGCAAGCTGGACAATGAAGACATGATTTTGACTTTGAAAACACCACCCACTTCGCGTGCCCGCACCAGCTGCACTTAACTTTCGCTTGCAGATGCCCAGTTGCTTCAGCACGCCGGTGTGGGCTGGTGATCTTGCTTTGGCATAGACACAACCCAGTGCGCTGTTGTGAGCTGCTGATCCTGCAGGGAGCACAGACCTTGCACAGGTGGCGCTGTGTGTGTGTGTGTCAACAGTCCGGAGCGCGTGCGTTTGGCTCAGTGAGTGACACGAGGGACACGCATGGTGGAGAGAACGTGGACACTCCTATAGGTCAATGTGTTCTTATAGGAAACTTCCGCCGCCGGCTTGCCCGGGAACTGCTTGTAACATACCATCAATCAATCTTTTGAGTCCACACTCAAACAGCACTCCTCTTTGGGCAAAAACTTACCAAATCTTACTCCCGTTTCCGGACGGCCTTGGAGCGAGGATCGCCTCAGTTTGCAAGAGCATGGTTGACACGGACACTGGTGACAATGTGCTGGGCATCAAACGCTGTATGGCAGCGACCAAGAGCAATCTCGGTCACAATGGTCCGCCCTGAGTCGAATGCTCCGAATTTCAAGGCAACTTCAATATCCGACACAATATATGGTTTAACAGCACTTCACCAAATGTTCGGAAACTTGCCTGTCATAGTGGCTGCTTCGGGCCAGCCTTGGGCTGAGTTTGCATGTTTGTTCCATGATGTTCTATGGATGTGTTGTGTGTTTAAATGTACTTGCAGGGTCTCTGAAAGTATAAGTTTTGGAATATCAATCTTGCTTGCGCTTGTGTTTGCGATGTTTGATGCATGTTCGCAGTGCTTGTGTAAATTCTTTCCTTTTGAAGCCATGCAAGGGTACTTTTCCTTGGAGGTCTTATGAAGGGGAGGGCCAGCGCAAAAACAGAAGCCTTAGAGCCCTCTTCCTCCCGTCAATTTCTCCCATTCCTGCAAAACTCAAAGAAGGGAAAAAAAGAAAAACTTTCGAGCAAAGCCATAGAGGTCTTGCTGGTGAAATTCCTGTTGTGTTGCATGTTTGCAAAGAGCTGGCTTTCATTGAAGACTGCATGCCACAAACCCTTCAAACAAAGCAAGCTGCTTTTTCCAAGCGCAGGTTGAAGAGTTTCCAAGGCACACTGTATTGCAAAGCACCCTACAGTGCGGAAACTAAAAAGAACTCTACGTTGCTTAGCGTATTGTATACACAACGGATTGTTTGGACCAAAAGTGCTTCAGTTACAGTGCACATACCACATTGCAGAGAGAGAGAGAGAGACAGAGAGAGAGAGAGAGAGCACAGTGCACATGATGTGCTACACCGTTACACGCAACAAGCGAATGAGCAGTGAGCCAGCGTGCTGTTCATGGCAGACCAGCGTACATAGTACAGCATTGCAACCCCCACAAAGCACGCAATACAAATACAAGCACGCAAAAAATGAAACCCGTAGATATCCTGTTGCTCACTCTTGCCAGTAGCACCATGCGGAAGAATGAAGTTACAATACTGCATTGCGGCTCCAGTAGAGCGCGGCGGGCATAGCTTCACAACGACTGACTATTCCTGTTATGTCGTATTGGAGGGGGTTTGGAGTAAATCGGTTGGTGACGTTGGTGCCAAAGCTGCAGCATGCATTTTGACATTGGAGGCAAAGTGCAGATACTTCACTCGAAAACGACTGCTTGGGAAATCTAGTGCACATCCCGTACCTCGTTGCCAGGTTTTTTTTTAACACATTGAACTGCAAAACTCAAAGCACTTGCACAGCACATACTATTGCATTGAATATGCAATAGTGTCAGCGTACACATTGCGTGGCAAAAGGATGCAAGAGGTAGATTGCACACATTGTGTTGCGCAAGTATATATGCACACTCTAGACTCTAGACTGCACAATTAACACGCGAAGGAGTGAAATGAAGACGCTGCATTGCAACGACCATTTGCAGCATTGGGGTTGATCACTGCAATCTGCAATGCACACAGTGCGGGTCAAAAATGGCAACGCGGAATCACAAAAGTTGAAAACTTCTTTGTCTAAACGAAAGTGGGGGGAAACTGGCAAACAACACCAGGAAAGAAACACGTGCACAACATCCGCTCAATCTCCACAACAGCGTTTTAGACGCATTTTTGTGTATGCATGCCGTCGTTCATGTAGCTGAATAGCAAAACACGACAAATATGCAATATAGTTGTCTATTGCACGAGTATCTTGTTGTCCTATTCCTGACAAACGAAAAAGACTGACTCTCCACAATAAACACCTGGATACTGTCTCGTTCCAAGAGGCATGTTCAAACAGCCAGTTTGCCCAAACAGTGGAGACGAATGTTCATGGTCCAAGAACAACTGTATGTATGTGTATAGATATTTATATACACATACACATTTTTCTAGCAGTTTTTACTTTCAAAGCACATCAACTTGCAGTAGGAGAACCAGCAGCACAGGGCAAGCGGGTAGTGCTAGCCAGCAGCAGAAGCAGAATAGGAACAGAGGATCCGCAGCTGCACCAGGGCAGCCTTGAGAGCATGAACAGCAGCCGAGCAGCGGAAGGAGGAGCAGCCAGCAGAGAAGCAGCAAAAGCAGCTGCGGCGCGCGAAGCCCACTCCAAGAGATGTTCAAATCTCAAGTATGCCAGCATAGACCCCCCAACCAACTTCAGCAAAATTTTGTTTGCGTCAGTTCCTTGAATTCGGCTATAGCCTCTAGCTGTTCGAGAACAGCGTGTAAACAAAATAACACCAGCATAGACCCAGATAGCTAGGCAGAATCCCACGACCTGTTGACATGCGACTGGCTGGAACAAGAATGTACGCAGCTTGCGCAGCCAGCTTACGGCACCTCCACACCAGCACCGTGCACTTTGCCAGCTGACAACACCGGCAGCGGCGCCAGCGCCCGACCAGCGCCGCCGCCAGTCTTAAACGCGCGCACCACAGCACCGACACCCTTTCGAAAGCGCGCGCAGCCAGCTCATTCTTATTTGCAGCGAGAACCCCATAGCTATCCCTATTTGGGGAATAAGTGGGAATAACAGCGTATGATCTTGCGAGTATAAGTCTATGCGCACAAAAGTATGCACGCAAACAGCAAAGCCCGTAAGTGTCATTGGCCCAAGGCCAAGCAGTATCCAGCGCCACTATTGACTTTGTAGCACGCTTGAAGCAACTATCTGCAGAACGATAAGGCCGTATGATCTTGCGCGTATAAGTTTACGCGCACAAAAGTACGCGCGCAAACAGCAAAGCCCGTAAGTGTCATTGGCCCAAGGCCAAGCAGTATCCAGCGCCACTATTGACTTTGTAGCACGCTTGAAGCAACGATCTGCAGAACGATAAGGCCGTATGATCTTGCGCGTATCAGTTTACGCGCACAAAAATATGCGCACAAACGGCAAAGCCCGCAGGCTTCACTCGCCCAAGGCCAAGCAGTATCCAGCACGACTATTGTGTGTGTAGCATGCTGAAACACGCTGAAACAAATTGTCGGTTGAGAGCCTGACGTTGCGCATAGAACATTATACGCGCAAAAGTATGCGCGCAAACGGTACAGCCCTTGACACAGCTGTCGGCCAAAGCAGAACCTGAAGAGTGTAAATACCCCACAGCGCTAATAGACAAAGAACGTTCAAGCAATAACACCGTATGATGTTGCGCGCGCAAGTTCACGCGGCCCATGACTGTGTCAGCAGCGGCGCTTGGTCGCCCTTCACTGCTGCAAGCGGCGGTTTGTTACCCTTCACCGTTAGAAGCGGAGGTTGTTATCACTTCACTGTCAGAAGCGGGCGCCCACACCAGCAGCAGCAGCCGGCACCCTGTCCACTACGCGCGCAGCCAGCACCCAGCACCGGCGCCCAGTCTCCACCACGCGTACAGCTCACAGCACCGGCACCGGCGCCCGCTGTCTCCACCACGTGCGCTGCCAACACCCAGCACTGGCACCGACCACTATAGACCGCCCAGAGCACCAGCACCGGCACCCTGTCTCCACCGCGCGCACAGCCAGCTCACAGCACCACCACCAGCACCGGCACCGGCACCCAGCGCCAGCACCAGCCGCCGGCACCAGCCAGCAACCTGTCTCCACCGCGCGCACAGCCGGCTGGCAGCATGCACCAGCATCAGCACCGGCACCCGGCACCCAGCGCTGGCACCCGGCACCATCAGTGGCAAACACTTGCACAGGCAGCTCACAGCACCACGGCACCACCAGCAACCTGTCTCCACCACGCGCACAGCCGGCGCCCAGCACCAGAACTGGCACCCGCCACCAGCGACAGCAACCTGTCTCCACCACGTGCACAGCCACTTGCAGCGACACCCGCCGCCGCCACCCGCCACCCGCCACCCAGCACCAGCACCAGCACCAGCAACCTGTCTCCACCACGTGCACAGCCAGCTCACAGCACCAGCACCCAGCACCAGCAACCTGTCTAGCCAGCTCACAGCACCGGCGCCCGGCACCCAGCACCAGCACCGGCACCAGCAACCTGCAGCCAGCTCACAGCACCAGCACCAGCACCGGCGCCCGGCACCCAGCACCAGCACGGGCGATGGCAACCTGTCTCCACCACGTGCACAGCCAGCTCACAGCACCAGCACCAGCACCGCCACCCAAAGCGACATGTCTCGAAAGCGCGCACAGGCAACTCATTGTTATTTGAAGTAAGAACCGCATAGCTTCGCTATCTGGTGCAAAACAGCTGTACGAGTATCAAGTTTGAAACGCTGCATCACCGTTGCATTCATAGCCACCAAGCAAAAAGACCGGACCATGCAGTGGAGGAAGGGAAAACGGCGACAAGGCCTGGACACGGCGGGGAAAGAAAGGCCACAGCACACACACCCAATGACAAGTTTTGCACACGACAAACACAAATCTCAATGGAGTTATGGTACACAAGTGTCAGGAAGCGTCAGAAGTGACAACCAGATATGAAAAATACGGGACATACCGACAGATATGTTTTGTTTCAAGAAACAATCCTGTTCTGGCACAGCGGAAAGGTCTGTACAAAGGTGCCTCTGTGAAGATCAGGGACTCTACAGCGCAAGGTGTGACCAGACAACAAATATACCCAAACAAAAGAAACAACACGACTAGCAAATACTGCGCACAGCAACTCATCATGGACATGGGAACATTGCGGACACGCCGTCACGTTCCAACTTCTAGACCTCTGATACGCTTGACCGCATCTGCCAGCACAGGTGTCGTGTATGCGATGGAAGAACAGAAGTTGTTTCGTTTCAATGATTCTGCCTCTGCGCGTCGGAGTTTTGGTCATTGGAAGTTTGATTTGCGCGCACCAATGTTTTGCAACGAGTTCTTGGCACAAGCGCTCAGCATGCCTGAGCTCCAACGCCTCACAAGGCGATCCACTGAATTCGTCCAAGGTTGACTCCGCAAGATTGAAAACACACTCGGCTCAAGACCACGAGAAGGGCCATGTCCTGGTAGACCGCCCCAAAGCCCAACGGTGAAGCAATGACCTGCACCACACGTCCAATATCTGGGAGGGTGCTCAAAAGCTGCTACTAGTAAAGTGGGAAAGTCTGTTCCAACGTACACTTGGCACTTTGAACTTTGAAAACCTTGCGCTGCCGTTAGGGAGCAATGTGCTATATAGACACGCAAAACCTTTGTAGATGATCACCTTCATCAACGCCAACTCCATTGAGCCTGTCTGCTGGGGGAGATAGGTTGCTCCGCCGTTTGCAACCATCTTTGATCGACCAGTTCATCATGACAATGTAGAAAATGATGAGCCACCGTCGCCGCTCGCCCGCTTCCTCTTCTTGTTTTTTCTTCCCTCCTTCTCCTTCTCCTTCTCCTTGTGTCCTTGTTCTTCTCCCTCTCCTCCTCCTCCTCCTTCTCCTCCTTATTCTGCTTCTGCTTCTTCTTCTCCTTCTTCTTCTTCTTCTTCTTTTGTTATTCTATGTTATTCTTTTATTTTTTCTTCGTCTTCGTCTTTGTCTTCTTCTTCTGTTTTTCTTCTTCTTCTTCTTTTTGTTGTTGTTCTTCTTCTTCTTCCTCTTCCTCTTCCTCTTCCTCTTCCTCTTCTTCTTCTTCTCCTTCTCCTTCGCCTGCTCCTTCTCCTTCTCCTTCTCCTTCTCCTCATCCTCCTACTGGATCTTGAGACGTTCACCCGGAGATCTTCGTTTAACAAATTAAGCAATCTCCTAATTACTAGCTCTTCGTTAATTCTTGAAGTGTAAGCTAATCGTCCTCCTGCCCTCCTGACAATCGGTTCAGCAACGTCGATCACCCTTCGACGTGGCATTCCTTCTCCTAAATGACCGGGAAAGGTTGCGTCCTCCACGTGGAACGTGTCCAAAGGTCTTGCCTTGCTCAGCGCCTCTCCCCGGGCTCTTTTCCTCTCTCCTGCCAGCTGCTGACGAAAACAGGTGGCCTCGCACTTCTCCTGGGCATGGAACCTCAGAACCGGACAGCTCCAACCAACAGGGACTTGCGGCGCAGAGGTGCAATGAAAATAGTGTGTGATTAAATGTTGCGGGCAACTGCTTGGCGAGATCCGGATCATTGGGCCTGCGTGGGCTCGACCTTCGGTTTCAATTTCGAGTCCTTGGTGGCGACGAAGCCTATCATAGTTCGCGTGACTCACCGCGCCAATGCGAAATCTCATTTGTCGGGGCGACCATGCCTGACACCATTGTATCTGAAGCTGCCCATTGATGTCCTGAAAGGGGGCAACTCTCTGTCTTCTCCTAGCCTCAAGTACTCCCTGCTTGCGCGCGAACGCAAATGCGGGGATGACGGCGCATTCAACGCTGCTGATGTTTGGCGCTTCCTTGGCGTCCTCGACTCCTTTCCTTCTTCTTGCGGAGCTTTGAACTCGCAGAGTATTTCCTTTCTTCACGCGTCCTTTCTCTTTTGGGTTGTCTCGTCTCCTCTTTGGTCTCGACGTTAACCTGCATCCTGACTGCTGTCCTCTCCCACTTCAGTTCTTGCCTTCCGTCAGGCAAAGCTTCTCTCTCGTCTGAAACCCGGCGCCGTGAGTTGGAACAGCATCCGTGGGCGCTCATTGATCTGGGCGCCGAGGTTGGTCACGCCGCTGCCCGCGCAGCTCAGCCGAGTCGATGGCCTCTATACCGCTGCGCCAGCACCACGAATCCCTGTATCGCAATGCCCCGACATCTGCGCAACTTGCTATTTTCTGAGAAGCTGCGCTTGCTACTGAGTTCTCGGGCGCGCGTTCGGCGCCCCAATAGGTGCTGGCGCATACCTCATGCGTCCTACTCAATTTTCGTGCCCTGAAGTGCAGAATCAATGAACGGGCCACGCGCTGAAAGTCAATTTAATTGGCTTGGGGCGAGGATTCAACGACAGAATACATTCGGTGACTTATTGCTGCGCACCACAGACCTTGTTGCTTTACATAAGCAATTGACTCAATCAGCTGCTTTGCCTCTGACAACTTGCTGCTCTTGTCACAGAAAAATGCACGTTGGGCAAAACCCAGCGGCGAGAGCGCTCCTCCCAACATGGTTCACAAAGAACATCAAAACACTTGGACGAATATACAAAAATATATATAGAAAGATAGGTAGATAGACAGATAGATAGATAGATAGATAGATAGAGTTATGGATATACACACACCCCTCTATGATTGATTGAAACGAACCTTCCAACCTTTATCCGCAGCGTCCTTCACGAGCAGCATCTCGCGTTACTAAAGCATCAAAATGGTGTCTCGCAGGCACTGTTCTGTTCTGGATAGCACGGCCAAGCCTCAGCAATGTGTAACAGACATCTAGTCGCACGCTATATATACACATACATATATATAAATATATTCTAATTCCCTCCCCCACCCCATGATCTACCTTTTCCTGCTTCTCAGCTCTTCTACCTCTTCCTGCTTTTCAACTAACTTTACGTCATGGACTTTACTCTTCACCCCCCATACCTCACGCGCTATGAGGTGGTCTTCAGATCAGCCCGCATATTTGCAGCTTTCATGGCAGAACAAAGTACATGAGACTCGTGACCCAAAGTGTGCAAATATGTAGCCTCACACTTGGCTCACGGAATCTGATGAACCCATGCACAAATTGCGGGCGGCAAGTATTTTAGTTTCGACGTGTGGGTCTTCCAAACATGAAAGAGAGCAGTTTGCGAAGCGCAAGGTCCAATGACACAAGAAACACAAGTGGGAAGAAAGGGCAGCTGCGAAGCCCCGTCTGAATCCCATTCTCTGTTTATACAGCAGCTGTCGTGGAACAAGAGATTTCCTTTTGCTATTGAACTCTGCCTGCCGTTGGACATCAACAATTAGGAGGTTGAAAAAACCGAATTCAAATACAAATGCAAAACGAAAAGCCTGACCAGAGCAAAAGGGCAGACAGCATTTGAAGACCGTATAGACAACCCAGGGCGTCCCGTCATTAAAGAAGAAAGGCACGCGTTATTGTCGGGAACTATTTTGTTCAAGATGTCCCATGTACGCGGCTACCCCCTCTGCGGAATAGATTTTGAAACGCGGTAGAAATAGGAGAAACTAGTTCAAAGGACTAAGAGCGAAATCAACGGACCAAAACGGACGTTTAGAAAATGAAACCGCAAGGGATCAACAAGGGCTTAAAAGGATACCACAAAGACCCAAAGAGAATTTTAACGTGTGAATCGTACGGAATCAAAAAGAACTCAAAAGAAAATCAATGGAAGCCAGAAGGAAAATCAAAGCAAACCTCTACAAATCAAAGGGAACTTGCAAGGGGTGCGCAAGGAATCAAAAAGCTTTTATAGGAAATCAACAACTAGCATGTTAATAAAGGGAACTCAAAAAGGAAAACAATGAAGCATGGAAAGCGTAGATAGTACTTAGGGGCTGCTATGTCAAAAATCTACCGACGCAAAGCGCAGACAAAGGTTGAAGGGTAGCATTCAATCAGTGCTGTTTTTTTGAAAAGCGCTGGCAGTAACCCAAGGGGTGCGAATATATGCTAAAGCCAAGGAGCGCATGGATTATCGTAGGCGTTTATTTTTCCAACTGTTTTTAATGTGCTTGACCATCCACTTTGCGGCATGGATTCTTGCCAAAAAAGGGAAAAGTTAACAAAGGCGTCAAAAGAAATTAGTTCAAGAAGCTCAGCGGAAATCAAAGGGAATCAAAAGTGTTTACACAGAAATCAGAAAAGTCAACAAGAGTTTGACAGAAAATCAAGTGGAACCAAGTTGAGTTTAAAAGGAAATCATGCGAAACCGAAAAACATTTTAAAAGTGATCCAAAAGACTCACAAGGAATTCAACAACAATTCCACAGGAAATCAATAGGAATACATAGGGGTTGAGATAAACTATTCCCGTCGAAGGTACGCATCACAAAACTGCAAAAGTGGTGCGCGGAGACAGTGGTCGGGTATGCGGCGAGGTATGCGGGAGGTGTGCGTGTCGGGTATGCGGCCGGGTCTGCGTCAACTCTGGTTTCATTCATGAAATTTGAGCGTTTAAGTCAGGTTTGCCGCAGTACCCGCCGCAAGTTTTCGAATTGACAACGCTATTCATTCGCAACCTGTCGGACACCTCTCGGAAACCCTCGGACACGACTCGGACACCACTCGGACACCTCTCGGCTCTCGGACTTTGCTCCAAAATATGTGAAACACATTGAATCTCTTCATATCTCTTCTATTCTCTTCTTAAACCTTGGCGTTGACTTTTGTTTCCGAGAGGTGTTCGAGAGGTTTCCGAGATGTTTCCGAGAGGTTCCGAGTGGTTTTCGAGATGTTTCCGAGAGATGTGAACTTACAAGGTGAAACGCACACCTCGTCATTGGTACCAACGTGTTCAACCTGGACGCACACCTCGCCCCACACCTCGCCACACACGTTTCCACGATTTTGAGGTCGGATAAAAAGTTCAATCTGGACGCACACCTCGCCGCACACCTCGCCACACCACGACGCTGAGGTCTCGGGTTTGACCAGGTTTATTGAAACCCAACCTTCGAGGGGAAGTGGTGCGGTCAACATAGGGGGTTAAAAGGGCATCGACAGGCGGCAAATGCGCTCAAAAAGCATATCAATGAAGGGAATTCTAAAAAGCGAGGGAGTCGCGCGCAATCTAATTTCCATACTGTGTCTGCGTGCATTTTCCCGCGCGCCGGCCCTGGTCAAGCAGACGCCGAAAACCAAAAAAGTAACAACCGAGCTGAGGAAATCTGGTGTAGTGAAACTTGTTTGATTTTTCGTTGTCGTGGCTCATGCCGAAAAACGAAAAACGCGAACAAGACCAAAGAAGTTTTCACTACCCCAGATCTTCCTTGGCTTGAGGGTTGTTTGGTTTTATCACACTTGTCCTCTCCTTCTCCTTCTTTGTGAGAAGGCACTGCAAGCTCTTCAGTCACCCACTCACCGCGCTCCGGAGATCAAGAACGCTGCCACCCGCACGGCGACGATCTCATACAACAAATCCGATCTAGCTTCGCGCTATTGAGTTTTAGAAGCAGGGAGATCAATTACGCAAGCTGCCGCAACTAAGTTTCTAAGTTGAAAGTTGGTGCGCTGACTCGGTGATTATACTGAATTTTAAGAACTCCGGACCGAAGGACACCTAAGGCAAACAAGCGAGTACGGTGTTCAAACAAAAACCAACCCCTTGACTGGCTCTACCGAGTTCCAAGGATGCGCACGAACGGAAATGAATGAGGCTGTTAACCTGCTGAGTGAGTGATCCGCAGCCCCACGCAATCAAACACACAATGCAACGCGGCGTGCACTTCTTTTGCGTCAGCCTGAGCCAAATGTCAACGTCCAAAATGAATATGTGTAGCCAAAAAAGGGCACACAAGACATCAATATGTTGCCATGGAGAGACGCACACATGTGTGCACACATGTGTGCACACTGTTAAATTGAAAACCCCTTACTGTGAAACCAGCATGTGTTTAACACCTTTTGAACATGCATTTGTTGTCAGCTGATGAGGGGCACTCATTCTGATAGGTACAAAAGTAGTTTTTGCATTGGCAGGCCCACTGGAAACAGCTGTAGGTAGATCATGAGGGGTGTCCATTAAAAAAAATATATATATATAGTTAATGATACATAACTAATTAAATATGTTTTTACTTATCGGACAGTTCCCCACTGTCTTCAGTTTATACAGAAAGGAGAAAAACAATGGGGGCCACGCGAATACAAGTAAGCAAACTGCTGTCCAGGAAGAGACCAAGCCTTGCAGAGTCGAAGATAAAAGCAAAAACAAACCACTGCGAAACACACGAAAAACTGCGCGTGCCTGTTGAGAGATAAGGGCTTCCAAAGCCACGCGCACTTGTGGATTCACCTCAGCCACTGATCGTTAGGTTCATTACGCAGGGCAAGAGCCAAAAGCTGCCTCAAGCACAAAAAGAATCATGGCACCATGATGCTTCTACTGGGCCACCAATTCACCATCCTCCAACAGATGGAGGTCAAATCCCGTCACTTAGCTTGTTCGGATGGCCCCTTAACTTTTAATGGTTTTGCGCCCTGTTGCTGAGCCCTCTACGGGGGAGACAACACAATGCCAAGCAGATTCTGCATGAGGCTGACCACCTTAACCGAATCTTCCGCTGCAATCCACCTGTGTACGCAAATAAGATGCAAGAAAATGATGCCCAGGTCACTGCCGCCCTGCAAGTCTTTCCGCCCTTGAAGCTTTGTGGGCTGCGACTCCTGGCACGCTGCAATCGGACACCAAAAGCCAATGCAGGGTTGAGCAATTCAGTCAATTCAGTGAAAACCTAAACATCCCAGCACTTTCACCTCATCTTACAGTGGCGCAAGGCTCCCCCATACTCAAGGTTAGGGCATAGCGTTAGAGAGCTGCGATTGCCCCACTGCAAGTCTGACCAAGTATCAACCTGCCTTTCTGGCATTCTTTTTGGCATTCTTGATGTCCCTGCCGTCCACACGAGCGAAGCCGTTTGTCACGTCAATGAAACCCTTCGCACATTCAGGCCTCACGAAAGCTCTCTGCGCAGCAATTTCACGGTGGAGAAACCTGGTTGACTCAAGGCTCTTGCAACTAGCTTCGAAGTCTGGTCTTACAAACTCTAAAGGATGAGGCTTTCACATGCTCCGTCCACGCTGACTGTATACTGTATGTAATTCTATTGTGATGTTACTATTTTCGCAACTCTAGGGGCAAGGCTTCAAATACGCGTCCGCACCTGATGACCCAGCTTGCCGCGCTGCACTGCCAGATTTACAAACCTCTGATGGCACACACAGCCCCAGGGCAGCCGCCATTTGTCGCGGAAACGTCTGCAACGCCGTGCCGTTTCTGCTCCCAACCACCCACCTCAAATCTTCGCGTACATGGAAGCGAGGTGAAATCTGGCTGAATGAGCGTGATCTGAGCCACAAGCCAACTTGGTTGGCCTTACAAGCACACAGCCTAGTTCCACAAACAATTAAACATGTAAAACCCAAGAAAAAAACGTGCGCATGAGCATGATTTTGCTGACTATAAAAAATTAAGCACAGATGTTTTCCAAAGTGTGAACCTTTTTCCATGCGCCACGTGAGCATATTAGCGCAGCAGTACGTCAGTGTAGCACATGTGCCCACATATGCGCAAACACGACGACATCGCAACCAACAAAAAGCAGGGAACCTCTTCCGAAACCTGATCTGGAGCCCCCAGCAAGTTGGCACGACAGCATACCATGAATTTGCACGTGTCGGTGTGGCATTTGGTTAGCGTGACCTATGCGCCAGTATGACTATACATCAGCGTGACAGCAACACAATTTGTCAGCATGACACAGCACCAGCGTATCTGCGTTCCATAAACCCAAGAGACCAACATGACACCACCTCAGCTTACCGGCGTGGCAACACCTTAGCACGTTTGCAATTACTTCACTTCTAGTGATCCCCACCATGACATTTCAATCTGACAAAGTTTGGGCATGTATTGAAACAATATTTCGACATTCTTTCTGGCATATCTCCTGACATTCTTTCTGGCATATCTTCTGACATTCTGTCTGGGAGTCTGGCATATCTTTTGACATTTTTTATGACATTTTTCTCGAAAGCATTGCGAAGGGTTCTTCCGGAAAATCCCTTGAACACTGACACTTCGACACTTACACTTACACACTGACATTTCCACACTTGCACTACAACATGAAGACATGAACACACATGAACACTATACGTACCCCAGTGTAAGTGGAAGAGCAAAAGCATCCAAGTGCAAAAGTCTGCAAGTGTCAAAGTATGCAAGTGTAATGATGCAAGTGCAATGATGAGTATGCAAGTATGCAATGAGTATGCAAGTGTGAGCATGGAATGGAAAACTAACACGGGAGATGTCCAAATGAAAAACATGTCCCCACTTTATAAATTCTCTCTTAAAGGCGGAGGGTGGGACGAACAGCGTCAACCGAAAATGCAACCCTCTGCGGAGATCGCGCGCGTCGAGTGCGCGAAATGCAGGCGTGAGTGCGATTGGTGCGGTCCGCGCGCAACCCTCTGCGGAGATCGTGCGTGTCGAGTGCACGAAACGCAGGCGAGAGTGCGATTTGACCCATGCCCGCGCAACCCTCTGCGGAGATCGCGCGCGTCGAGTGCGCGAAACGCAGGCGAGAGTGCGATTGGCGCGGTCCGCGCGCAACCCTCTGCGGAGATCGTGCGTGTCGAGTGCGCGAAATGCAGGTGAGAGTGCGATTTGTCCGGTGCCCGCGCAACCCTCTGCGGAGATCGCGCGCGTCGAGTGCGAAATGCAGGCGAGAGTGCGATTTGTCCGGTGCCCGCGCAACCCTCTGCGGAGATCGTGCGTGTCGAGTGCGCGAAATACAGGCGAGAGTGCGATTTGCCGGCTGCCCGCGCAACCCTCTGCGGAGATCGCGCGCGCCGAGCGCACGAAATGCGGGCGAGAGTGCGAGTGAGTCCGTGCGCGCGCAACCCTCTGCGGAGATCGCGCGTGTCGGGCGCGAAGTGCAGGCGACTTTGTACTACAACTTTAGTACGCGGCGCATCTGGCGAGTTGGAAGATGAGAACTGGTGACTTTGTAGTACAGCTGGGGAGCTGGAAGATGAGAACTGGCGACTTTGTAGTACAACTGTAGTCCGCGGAGTAGCTGGGGAGCTGGAAGCTGAGAACTGGCGACTTTGTAGTACAGCAATCCGTGGAGCTGGAAGCTGAGAACTGGCGACTTTGTAGTACAACTTTAGTTCGCGGAGTAGCTGGGGAGCTGGAAGCTAGCACTGGCGACTTTCTAGTACAACTTTAGTACGCGGAGCAATCTGTGGAGCTGGAAGCTGAGAACTGGCGACTTTGTAGTACAACTTTAGTACGCGGAGTAGCCGGGGAGCTGGAAGATGAGAACTGGCGACTTGGTATATAGTACAACGTTAGTACGCGGAGTAGCTGGGGAGTGGGAAGATGAGAACTGGCGACTTTGTAGTACAACTTTAGTACGCGGAGTATCTGGCGAGTTGGAAGATGAGAACTGGTGACTTTGTAGTACAACTTTAGTACGCGGACGAGCTGGGGAGCTGGAAGATGAGAACTGGCGACTTTGTAGTACAACTGTAGTACGCGGAGTAGCTGGGGAGCTGGAAGCTGAGAACTGGCAACTCGCGACTTTGTAGTACAATAGTCAGGAGGAGTACTCTGCTTCTGTCTTATAGTTGGCTTTGCGTGTTGGTCCAGATCCGACGCTTCTGCGGAAGTCTTTACGGGGGCGGACACAGCGCGGCAGCGAGGTGCGGGATCCCAAAGAGAAAAGCTCAGCTTTAGATCTATGATAGCATGAAAGTTTCTCACTTGGCTGCATCATGCGCTCCTTTATTTGTGTTTCTTTCCTTTTTGTTCTCTCAAGGTGTAAGAAGAAGTGTTTGACAATGCTGGAAACACACGAGAGGAAAAGATAAGTAGACATATCATTGGAACAGAAAACAAAGCAAACGTTGTAATACAGCATAGAGGAACACTTCTGCGGCCTTTCCTTTTTCCGGTTTACCTGTTTTGAACCGTGGCCGCTGCCGGAAGTGCTTTCTTCGGTTCCATGCCTGGTGGACTCGTTGCTTGGCAACGGCAGCTGCTGGCTTTCCAAGGTAGTTTGCAAACGATGCTGACTCGAGTAAATGCGCTGCTAGACAGTCTGCCAGATACGCACTGGGACGCGCGCGTGGATACACCTGCCCCGAGCGCGACATCAAGATCTCGATCTCCACGTCAGAGCCATGACAATTCGATGCCGAATAGTTTCTGGGCTGGATTAGCTGTTCAGCAAACAGCTAATCCACATCTGGAGAGGCCGGACGATGGGCTGGTCCGGCTTGGATGCAATTATCCGGAAATGTATCTTCTGATCTATTTCCACGTGGGTGAGAGATGTAACACATACCTGCGTCTTCTCGCCTACGTTGTCCGAGGAACTTCCATGACTGCCGGTGATGTGTCCTTGGTCAATTTAGATCACCACGGCTGTCTGGAAGTCCAACCGAGTGATGTTTTATCTGAGTTAATCCCGGCTTGGCGGAGAGACGTGGAGCGAGGCCACCTCAATGTAGAGTACATTGGAAATTTGCCTGCTTCCAGCCGCGACGACAAGCACCTAGACGGGGAAGCTGAAGGGACGTCGACGCAGGCGGACGTCGTTCTGCGAAAGCTTGCGTCAGCGACCCATGCTCTGCGTGTCCGTTACTTTGCGACCGGCGAAGCCTCTCTGTACACAAAAAAACGACGAGTCTCCGTGCGCCTGACAACAAAGCCGGTACTTTTGGGAGAGACTGTGTTTGAAGGCGGATACACACTTGTCGACTTTAGATCCTCATGTTTTTCTCTGCGTGTCTCCGGGAAGGTCTTTAGGGAGTGGCAGCAACACCTCCGCACGGTCCGGAAAACAAAAACGAGAATAGATAAGCTTTAGACTTTCAGTTTTATATGTTTAGATAGCTGCTTCTTCCCAAGTTTCTTTTTGCAATAGTGATGGGAAGAACTCTGGTTCTCTGTTACACTTTGCTTTGCAATTTGGGCAAGCTTCGAGGCAATTATCTGTTAGGGACAGCTAAGCTGTGTCTCTTGGGTACCATGACAGTTTCCTTTCACAATAGTCAGGAGGAGTACTCTGCTTCTGTCTTATAGTTTGCTTTGCGTGTTGGTCCAGATCTGATGCTATTGTCTCTCAGGGCATGGACGCGCTTCTGAAGAAGTTCTGTACTGGGGTGGACACAACGCGTCAGCGAGGTGCGGGATCCCAAAGAGAAAAGCTCAGCTTTAGATCTATGATAGCATGAAAGCTTCTTTTGGCACTAGTTTCTTGTTCTTGACCATTTCAACAACAACTAACCATTTCTGTCAGGGTTATAGCTTTTTGGCTCCAGTATTCATAACATCTAGGCTTCGGAGAAATTGCCCTGGTATGAATCACACGCAGCCATCCCTGCCACAATTGCCTGTGGAACCTTGTGCGCAAAAGTGGATCGACAATATGAAGGATCTCATTCAGACGTACTTCACCATGGGCCATGGAGGCATCTGGATTATGTCATTTGGAACCATCCTTACAATTTGAGAGATCTCCGCGCGTGGCCCTTGGACGCGACCATCGTCTATGAGTCGAACGATATGGTGTATGCCCTGGGCAGTTTGAAATCCGCGGCGAACTTGGCCGAAGTGGCACATAGCTGCGGCGTCCAAGTGGACACGCTCGTGACGCTCTGTGCCAAGGACTTGCAGGCCAAAGGGACACCAGAGACTTGGGATTCATATTTATGCCTGCACAGTGCCCAACAATGTGTGTACGCTCTGGACGATTTGACGGTCAAAGTCACCCAAGATCCGACGCTGTACGCGGAGCAGGCCCAAAGGAACTGTCGGGTATGGTCAGAGATCGCACGCACTTTGAATGCCAGGCGTGCCATGCTGGGGCAGAAACAAGT